TGGTGTTCTTTTATTGGTGCAGATCCCAGTTATATTAAAATGCAGCTAAAACTGATAACATGACAAACATGCATATATCTGATTAATGTGATAATTGGTGTCAATACATTTAGGTTATAGAATAATTGAGATATATAGCTACCACTGATATCAGTAATTAACATTATTCTATTTTAATAGAATGGTATTAGCAAAATAATCTACCTTAATAAAGTAGTAATATGAACTTAATGACTTGAATGATATGAATGTTCATGTTTCTTTTGTTTGATTATTTTATTTGGTGTTTTGAATTTTGTCTTTCTGTGTTTTGAATTTTGCCTGTTTTTTGACAGCCTTACCTCTTCCTGGTCTTACATCAGGGAAATACTGTGTGATTGCTGTTAGTAGCATGTGAAGGGCCTTGTTCTGTTTCCTATCCCCAAAATCATATTTATCTCAGGGAGAGAAAAGGAGGAGCCTGAGCATTGTATGGAGATGGGAAATCCGGCTGTTCTCATAGAGCCCTGCAGTCCTCATAGGTATTCATATAGCACTGCAAAATGAGTGCTGTGCAACTCCGGAGTGCCACAGCACATTTTGATATGAACAGTGCCCCCCTATTATATTTAATACACCACTGTTCTGTCACACGTTATTTTGAATTCTTATTTTCACATCTTCTCTATGAGGTTGGGAATAATAGCTTAGTAATTATTGTATCTGAGAAAAATTGAACTTTAAAACCTCTTATAAATAACTGTATGGGTAACCCAGTATTACCTCAGTTAAAGATAAATTAACCAAAAAGTAAAATTTAGAGAGAAAAAATAAAAACGTAATTTGGATGTGAAAAATAGCAATCAGTTTATTTATACTAAATATACTTATAGTAGCATATTTAACTACTTAAGGTAGGATAACATCCTACCTTATTTATTCTCTCTTTTAATTCTTTTACCATTTCATTTGTATTCATTTATTCGTACTTTATTAATTATTTTCATTCTTAGTCATTTTCATCTAATCACGGCACAGTGGGCCCAAGGAAGGGAATGCTAGCCTATCTATTGATGCTTGAGTTTATTTCCTCCTAAGGTTTATTTCAACAATCTACTCAATTCTGTTTTTATAGAATACAACATATTCTGTGTGTTAATAGGCATTGTTTTATATTCTTTGATATAGTGTGTAGCAATATGTTAAAGATGTGTGTATGCAAATACATAAAGGTGACGTTTTTTAAAAAGTATAAAGATAATTAGAATGCCTTATGCTTACACTGAAAAAAAAGTTGGACTTAATTATAATTTTAATCTCAAACTTTGAAATTACACCCAAGAATAGGGGGTAAATTGTTAGGACGAAAAGTTAGGACATTTAAATGCAGAGTCATTCAAGACTTTTCCAAGACACATGTATCCCTGTTAGTCAAGGATTCTAGTACTTGGGAGGTATGCACTACTATGGGACCTAATTACAGCACCTTTTTTAGAGGAGGTTTTATTTCCAGATCTCATAGGACCTGGGCTCACATCCTAAATTTAGGGGATTTTAGTTTTGGGGACCTTGCTTTTAATTATTAGCAGGAATGGGTATAGATGCATCCTGTAGTAATGATATCACTTTTGAGAGACACAGATACACAGTGTATAGTGTGTAGTGAGTGATTTCTCATCGTGTCTGTGCTTGTATTTGGTCAACAGTCTGTTTCTGAATAAATGAAGTCTTAATTTTTCTAGGCATACCAGTGAATACTACAAACTATACAATAACTTACTGTGATTTCTAAACTTATTAGAAGAGACTTGGATAGATATGTCAAATTTGCCAATTTCTTATATACTTTTTTAGAAGGGCCTTTTGAGAAGTTGGCAGTATTTCTTAAATGAGAGTGCAATCTTTATGTGAATGATCAAAACTTAAAGTTGATGACTAAGACTTACACATTACCCTTTCTAACACTGCTCTTAAATGCCAAAGTGCCTCATTTTTTGAGTGAGTGAGTTTTGTAGCAAGAGTGCTTACATAGTATTAGAGGGAGTACAGTTGAGGGGGTGCAAAACATTGGATTTTAGGCTTTTAGATTTGTTAGGATTTTAAATTTGTTACTATGCAAATGACTTTAAACATGCTAATAATTACCCTGATCTCAATAAATGAGTATGACTTCTTTTTCCAATGAACATGTATTAATCTCACCATCAGAAATTGGATGATAAATGCTTTTTGTTCAAATGAGGCTAATAGCTATTTTGTTATCAGTGCCTTCCTTGATCACCTGGAGCAATGCTTTATATAGTGAAGCTCTCAAAAAATGTATTGAAATTATTGGTCTCTCTAGATGAGTTTTATAATCCATTCTGTATATGTGATCTGAAATAAGTGATGTTTGCTTTACCTTTAGATTAGCTTGTTGTGACAGGAGGTAGACTACTTGTATTGAGAAGACAGTTCAGGATATAACCTCGGGATATCATAAAAATTATCATGCTGAGGTATAATAAAAATCTTTATTCTATCTGGATTGTATCTAAGTATTTTTTTTTAAAGTTCTGGTAAAGTATTTGCAGAAATAAATAGAGTAAGTGAAACAATTTTCTTTCTTAGTTCCTAATGTTTTGGTGCTTTTGTTTCAGCCAAATACCATCATTGTGACTATTTTGTTAGTATCACAAAACACAGAAGTATATTTCTGTTTCCTTGTTCTTACAGATACCATCTTTGAGCTACTTGATAATTTGTGAATGATTTTGTAATTCCTGTGGTTTTTCTACTGTCTGACAAAAATTATTGTGTACATACTTTAGTAGCCATTGATTGTGGCTTCATTCTTGTGCATTATACTGGTTTCTTTTGTTCCCTAATTTAGTAATAATTTCCTTAACATCTCTTATAATTTTAATTGTTATTAAGAAGAATGGCATAGTTTAACTTGACTCAAAATTCAGAAGGATGGATGAATGACAAATTAATAATTTATCACCTTTGCATAACACTGAAGCATAGAATCCTAGAAGGATTGATGACAGAAAAGGTTAACAAATTTTAGCAGCTTTCATTAGCTTTACATCGTCATATGTTTGTGGTGCTGACTGAAATAGGCTTTGTAGGAGATCTCGGTCTAGGGAACTAATTACTTGTGCCGATTGCCGCACTGATGAATAGACCCTCTTTGTATCATTCCCCTGAAGACGAGGAGTAGTCTGTGATTCACGACTGCATCCTGGCTGATATTTGATAATAATTTTAGCAGATAAATGTAGGTAGGCAGAATGATGAAGTGCCTATCCAAGCTTCATGACTATCAAAGCCATGCACATAGCCATCTGTGTACCGCCTTCCCCTCTCACCTAAGCAGAATTTTATTTTATTAATTGAGTTCCAACAACTGTTGTCTTTTGCTTTTATGTCCATCCTGTAGATATTTCTTATTTATTTTTTAAAAGTATATTTTTCAAATATGGACAACCAAAAAGTAGAATAAATGAGCTTTAAAATTTTTCTTTTTGAGGACTGCAATTCTTACACATTTTTATATTCCATTTTGATTATATTCTGTGTCCTCCTGTTTATGCATGGTCGTAATCCACAGAGGAAGTCTTTGATGTTCTCATTGTCTCTTCAGCGTTCTCAGAAAAGAGCAATGGATTCCTATTGTTTTTTAAAGAAAATAAAATAATGTACTATTATTTTTAGTTTCATTGATAATTTTTAATTGATAAATACTTGTTTGCAAAACTAATATTAGAAGGTAGCATCTTTAAAACATCAAAATAAGGATAACTTTTACATGGTATTTTGGGGACTGTCAAGACTACTAATTTGTCAAAGCTGACAGGTACAATTTTATTAGCTCATGAAATACAAGTGAAATTTAATTTTGTGTTATTCATTCCTTGCAGAACTTTTAATTATGAATAGCTTTTATTGTATTACTAAAACTTACTGGTTTTCGTGGCGTGTACCTTTTGAATAAATAAATTCTGCAGAGATCTTTTTTTTTACTACAACTGGAAAATCTTCATATTAGTATTTCCCTTATAAATTATTTTCCACCACGTTAGATCATGATTAGTTAACAAGAGAGAAAACTGACATTTATATATTGTCTTATAAGAGATCTATATAATTGGGAAAAATATAGTAGAACTTGAATTGCGTGAACCCTTAAAAAATACATTTCCAAAAGTATGCTTTAGATATAGCAATTATTGCACATCATATAGCATGCAGTTTTTAATTAAATATAAAAACAGACTACATAAAACAGAAATCCAATCTGATTTGCTTGAAAATAGATTGCTGTTTCAATCTATAGGAATGGTTTATTTAAAAACAGTAAATGGAAAAGAAATGCATTTTCTTGTGTTGTTCTAAGCCTCAGGGGCTAAATGTAATGAATATTTTAAGAGATTATTTTAATTAAATTCCTGCACATCTAAACAGTAATATTTTATTATCACATACATAACCATGTAACTGAGATATTCATTAAAGTTAACACTTTCTGGACCAAGAATTCATGGTATGATTTACTGACCTTGTGCAAAAAGGCACAAATTAGGAAGAAAAATGAAGGGGGACAGACTTTGATTAATATAGGTAATGCTATACCATATTTATAATAGCCTTTTCCCTATTCTGGTTTATAAATGCAGCCACAGAGAAAGGTGCCCTGCTGAGGCTGAAATGAGGCTGAAATCAGAGCACATGCCACAAGAGTGTGGGGAAACTGATCACACTGTCAGCAATTCATTTCAAAATGATGTATTTAGTGCTCATTTCACCTTCCAAGAAAAAGGAAAAGGAGTTCCTTAGACTGGAAGGTGATATTGTTATTTTCAAGGACATACCTAAGTTAAAGATTGCAGAAAGGGCCGTGTGAGATGGAGGGAGAATTAAGAGGAAGGGGAGGGAAAAAAAAGGCAGAGCAAACAAGGAGAGCTTTATGCAGAAATTCAGTGCTACCACGCTGTTTGATAATTGCTAACACATGTGGCTTCTCTGTTTCATTGTAGTCGTCCTCGTGAGTTCTGGCGCCTTGACTACTGGGAAGATGACTTGCGGCGCCGGCGACGATTTGTGCGTAACCCTCTAGGATCGACACATCCTGAAGCGACACTAAAAACAGCCGTGGAACATGGTCAGTGTATAAACCACTCCTTGCCAATAGCAGCAGGTACAGTACTTGGTAATGAAGACTGTAACTTCATTATTACAAGATACTGTAAAACAGCCCGACACCACATTTCATAATTATTTACCCCAGAAAGAGAAATTAAATTTCTTATAATTAGTGTAAGGTCCTATTAAATTATGGTGGCAGCTATATTTATTAATTACATAAACAAAACTTACTTAACATAGACCCTTTGTTTCAGGGTAGGAGGATAAAATATTTCTCCTTTTAAGTGACACTCAGCTTTCAGTGCATTAATCCAGGATAATTACTTAAATCCGTGAATATCAGAAAGATAGACTTTACAAACTAAATAGGTTTCTAGGTTCTGCTGTGGGTGTATATGGTTTTCCTTCAACCCTGGGATTTTAGCATGAGATTATGAAATGGAAGAGATGGTAATAAATGTCCTAGTGCCTGATACTTTCTGAGCCTTGATTTGTAGATGGTTGTGATAGATGACTCTTGGAAAAAGAGAATAGACATTATTTTCATATGTTCTTGTTCTGTATCATCTTGTTATCATGCTTAACGAAACATTTTTTCCTTTTTTGATATACTGCATATAGCTATGATTCAGTTTAGTTAGAAGGCTGACAAGAAAATTGGAAAAACTGAAAGTCCTTTGAATTTGATAATATAATCACTTTAATCATAGAATTTCACCTATTATTTTATAATTTCGGAAAGTCAATGAAGATATATTGCCTAAGGGGGAAAATACTATTCTCCGCACAAAGATTATTTTTGTTATAAAATATAAATTGTTTGTTTTTAATAGGAAGAAATAGTTTTTAATTTATCTTATTCAGGTTATTAATTTAATACAGCAGCTTATTGTTAAGTGATAGTATGTAGTATACAAAATAAACATTAACTTGCATTCAGTAAAGATATTAAGAATTTAGATTAAAAAGTCTGTGATCTTACGTTTGGCCTCAGTAAGGCAGCTTAACCTCTTGCTCTCAGCCTTTAGAGCCATTTCTGGAAGAAAATGTCCACAATATGTCATCAGATATAACACCAAATGTGACATCAGTCCTTTAAAATAAATGATCATTCAGAGAGTAGTCAATAACAAAGTGATCTAAAAGCAATAATAGTCTCAGGGCCCTACATCTTCAACTACAGGAGGTGGAGAAGGAGAAACAAGATGTAGAATTAATTAAGCCACTTTTGCTTTTAAGGTTTATGTGCTTTTTATGTGGTGCTCTAGATTTCAGAGTTACATATTTTTTATTTATTTATTTATTTATTTTTTTTGGTTAGGTACCCTTTTGTTGGAGGAAAAAAACCCAACATTTTTATAACTTTATTCTTTATATTCAAACAGATACTATCATGTGCACTTAGAAACTGAAATTTGATAATTTTATGTCTTGTCATTTAACATGGAGTTGTGAATTCTGAAGTCCACGAGTGATAAAAATATTTTTATGACAAATTTTCCCTTTTTATCTGAAAAGAGGGGACTTGTTGTCTAGGATTATACATTGGTAAACTGTAAATCCTTTATCCTGAGAAAGATATTAGTAAATGAATTTAAAATTTATGGCTTAGATTTAATCAGAACTTACTCATTAAAAATTATATATGTAAACATTGTTATAGGATTCTTCATTTTTACTTTTTATTGCATGACTTTATCTTTAAAAATAATTCTTGTTAACTTTTTTAATGCCAAAAGGGTGCTGTGGCGCTTGATTAAAAAGAAATACATATTAACAATGCTTACTGTTACTTAAGACTTTTATTATCTGGTGCAGATTCAGATTTGACTCTAATTACTCTAAATAGTAATTGAAAGGTCATCATAATATTAATTTGTTATCTATGTGTTATTATCACTTCTTAATTGGGAGAGAGATAAAGTTAAACATTTATGTAATTCTATCCTATTTGGTAATAGTTTACACTAATCTTATAAGGGTTAATATTTAAAACACTGAAAGGTTAAACAAAAACTTAAATCTGAAATGATATATTTTTAAAAACTAAACAAATATGTAGAAGATGCTTCAGTAGTCTTACAGTTAAAGAGAGGTGTCATATTGTTTCTGGAAAAAAAGACAGAAGGTCCAATTAATCATAATTTGTACATATTTTTTAACTAATACAAATATTAAATAATTCTGGAAATCAGCACATAGATTTCACTATGGTATTGTTTGATATCAATGTAATTTATGCTAATGCACTGTATAAGTGAAGAACTTGCTGTTTTAATGTTTTATTAAATAAAGTACCTTGTAGTTGATATTTAGTTTTGATTTTGTGTCAATTAGAAAATCTGGTTTTTATCCTAAATTAGGACCGTTAAAGAAGGTAATGCATATAAGCATATTAAAAATCAAGTATGCAAGACAAAACAGTTAATATATGATCAATAAAGAAGTTGAAATTACAGAATTTTATTATGGATAAATAATCAGTGATGAATTTGAATGTTTTAAAATGGTATAATTGAGGAGACTCAATCAGTTTTGTACTGTTTTATGACTTCTCATCTTTATTTATAATTGATTTGTCTAAGGGGACAGGAAACTTTGAAAATGCAGAATCTTAAAACATTATGAACTATATTATCATTATCAAAGGAAGACATCTAAAAAGAAATGCTGTTGGAGATTTGGAGATTTGTTATGTATTTTAGTGCTAAGAGCCATCTTTTTCATAGATTGATTTGATTTGAAGGAAAGCCTCTGGTGTAAAGGTGGCAGAGTAAATACCTGAAGAGTGATGTTCTCTGTTCTAGCGATCAATACTAGCCCCATGACTCTACTTCTGGCTACCTTCTAGTTAAAAACAAATTTTTTAATTCTGACAATTTAATTGCCCTGCCCAAGTTCACATTAACTTGCTTGGGGAAAAGGGCTTTAGGTAATTTTTCAAAGAGAGACCCTCCAAAGTGGTTATTTATAAAAGTCATTTTGTAATGGGAGATTTCTTTAACTTTGCAGAAACTGAGTCATATTTTTAAATTAAAGTTATTACTTCCCCTTATGATTATCCTTTATGGAAATGAGCAGCAAAAAGCAGAAGTGGATATTTGATTCTGAGGGCATTTTCTTTCATATTTTTAGAGTGTATTAGAAATAAGTCGTAATAATTGGTAACATTCTCCTAATACACGAAAACAGATTTTGTCAGTTATTTATTATCCAAGCATTTGAGATCTGGAAAGTACCTAAGGCTAAAGTACAGTCTAACTTTATTCTTTACAGATAAGGAAACTGAGGAGATAAAAGACTCACATGATTCTTGGTAGATAGGGGAATAAAATCCCAGGCGAACTGATGACTAGTCAGATCATCAATGTTATGCTGTAGTGTATTCTAAAATTCATTGTTAAATATAGCAGGAAATTTATATTCAAAGTAAAACCATGCAAAAGTGTTTTGAATGGTAGAAAGATTGGTTTTAATTCAAATACTGAAACATTCTAGCAGTAGAATCCTATTGAATTCAAGACATTTTTATTTTATAGAAAATGTACACGCTAATAGAAACGTATAAGGAAGATTTAATATAGTTTAAAATTGTAAGCATATGGAATGATACAAGTAACTCATCTGGTTTTCTGGGGATGACAGACCATGTAAAGATTCTAAATCATGCCATTCTCCCCTAGCTTTAATAATGTCAGATTCTGTTGCTTCCTTTATAGTATCAGCATGTGTTGTGTTCTCTAATACTTTTGGGGAACTCATGATCATTAGGGGATGAACTTGACTTGTTCTTCTAATCATCCTATTTTATAGTTTTCACTAATATTTCTAGAGTAAATTTTCTTGACTTGGAGAGCCCTTTGGGAATAATATAAACTAGAAAGGAGAATGAGTTTAGGACACTAGTCATGTTTAAAATATTCTGTATGTGTCCTGTTTAGAATATATGGCTATAGTATACACTTCACATCCTAATAATTGGATACCCATATTTATTTTATGCACATATAAAGTCATTGGTAATTTTAATAGTGATCTTTTTTTTTCTATTGATGCTTCTAGTTACTGGTACAATGGACTTTTAAAAGAGGATTTATATATCATAGGAAGAATAGTTTTCTGTGTTCTTTTTCTGTTTTAATTTTATTTACCCACCTATGGTGGATAGGTAAATTAACTCATGCCCAGAGCAAGCTCTGCAGATCTTGAACTTCATGTTTTGAGGAGCAGTTTCTCTTTGAGCTTTCCCATTGCTCTTAGCTTTAATCAGTCAAAAGCTGTGTTTCAAAGGAGGCCTTTTTGACACATTTCTCCAATTTTATGTACAGTTGTACTTTAGTTATTAAGTTAGGGTAAATTTTAAACCAGAACAAAAGGTGAGATTAGATGATGGCAATCTGCTAATAGTGATGTGAAAAATTAAATAGTTACTATGTTTGATACTAATTTTATTAACCATAAAAGATATCAGTCAAGCTTTAAAACTTAACCAAAAGTGTTCTGATTTCTTCAATCAAACATTTATTGTAATGTTGAATATCCTCACAAGAGATACTAAAACAGTTGATACTTGTTTTAATGGTTGAGTATAACAAATGAAAGGTAAAAATATACTTTTCCCAGATATAAACATTATAATTATCTTTTATTTTATACTTGGGACTGTTTTGTTCTAATTTAAAAAAAAAAAAAAGTTCTGTAGCAGAAAGCTATTAGACCACTGAGAATTGAACACCAGCGCATGTGGTGTGTATTAGAGTACTGTTGGTAATTTTACTGCTGCTAACTTAAAATCCTCAAGGGGGAGTTAATTACAGGAAAACCATTCTAAATATCAGTAAGCTGCATATTTTCCATGACAAGAGGTTTTTTCAGTTGAGGTCGAACAATTCCAGAATCTGAGCTTGTGAAAATAAGTAAATAAATAAATTAAAGTGGGTGTTTGTGTGTGTTCAGTATACCTATGGTATTTCAAATTTTTTTCATAAAATTTTCTTTAATTCAAAAGTTATTGTGCTTAAATATGCCAGCACAGTGAGAATTTATTAAAATTTTTCTAAATTCCAGTTGGAATGGATAGCAAATTATTTTTAGTGATCATTAAATTTTTTGTGTACTGAGCAATTTTTAACCATTGCATATTACCACTAGCTGCTCACATTTTTTGGTAAATGTTGCCAATTAAAGATTCTGTCCCTCCCCCCCAGCATAAAATAAAAATAATGAGCAAGGTGACAAATTTAATTGTTTCTGATGTGTTTGGCAGATGCGCATCAAATTTGGAAGTGAATATTTTTCATTCTGTTTCTCATGATTCTAACTTAACCTTTAAAAATATACTACCAAAAATAAAACAATTAGTAAAATAGTATATAGCTTATACATTAATATTTGGTTACTGGTTATTTTTGTTTTCTGTGGTTCAGAGCCCAGATTCTGGTACCACACTGTGTGGATTTAAATTCAGATTCTATTCTCACTGGCTGGGTTACCTTGAGCAAGTAATGTGAACCTCTTTGAGTCTATTTACTCAGTCTGAAAAGGAGAAATTACCTGAGGTTTATGAGAATTAAATGAGTTAAATATGTAAAAAATGCTTTGAACACTCCCTGGCACTTAAGAAGTGCTGTTTAATATCAGCATTATTTTTTTTTCCCTGCTTTGAAAAAGGAATTGTAAATCCAGGAAATGAGGAGACTATAATGTACTGATTCTGTTCTCAGATCTAACAGGCGATTGTTAATTTCATACAATTACTTCATAAGAAAATACAGTTTGTGATTCTTCTTGTATTTCTTAGTGACCAATTTATTTTTTGTAAAATTGATAGTAAATTGGAAAAGATCTTGTTTGGGCTAAAGGGAGTGTTTATGACTTCAAAATAAGGAAATACAAATACTTGAAACATTAACAATGATATAAAAACTGTTATTAGTCTAAAACGTAGCTGATTTGGGGTGTATTTCTTTGTCGCATTTAAAAAACCAAACACATTTTCGTTAGACACTTTAATTTTTTCCAAGTACATATTGAGACCTTCATATGTGTGTAGCATGCTATAATATGTGACTGAAAGAAAATAGTATTTGCTTACCCATGGAGGGTATTCAAAATCCAGTGTAGAAAACTTCTTTCCATGACTTCCTTGTGTAATAGAAAACCCCTACATTCTTTTAGAAGTGCACATAATTATTGTATATAAATGATACACATAGTGAGTTCATAATAAATGATAGAAATTTTACTTTTAACATTATTCATAGCCATGCCTGTTAAAATCACGGAAGCTTTGATTTTTAAAGTTGACTAGGTAACATACATGTCTAACTATTAAGGATAAATTATATAGATAGGTGTTAATCATGTATTGCAAAATGAATGCTTCTTATACTTTTTGATTTGAGGCCTTATGTCTAGGCGGAAGCTGCGGGAGCAAAAACACCTCTGTCCAATTTCCACATCAGTAGCTGTTGTTTTCCTGGGTCAGGTGCTTTGCTGCAAACCAGCAATGTCAGAATTGTAGCAAGGGTTCTAAACTTTGCCTTATGTGGTATTATTTTTCAAAATAGAGTTTATATACACATGACCTTTTAAAAATCACAATCCAGAAGTTACTATCCACTTTTGTGCTTTTCTTAAAGAGAAAGCTGCTCAAATCAAAGGGTTTAAGGTTGAAGTTAGAATTTTCAGTTTCACTGTCTTGTCTTTTTAGCTGCACCTCTCTTTCTTCTCTATGTCCCTGGTTGGCTGTAGATGCCCACCGGGCTGCTTCTGTACCTCCTAGATTTGTTGTGCCCTTGCGCTCCTTCCTTTCCTTTCAGACTTCCTTGTCACAGTGTCTGAGAGTCTGGTTACTACTCTCCACAGGCCGCTCCAGTTTCAGGCAGCATGAGGCTCTTTGCCCAGATGCCTCTCACCCTGGGCTTTCTGTTATGTTTGCCCCCCGGGTGTCTTAGCTCTTTAGTTTAAACACGGGGAGGAGGTAGTTTTTGAGCCTCTACTTAGTTTCCACAGTGCCTTGCTCTTGGATGTTTGTATAAGGGCTGAAGTGTGGGTTCAGGTGTGAGATGTGGCAAGGGCCATGTAAAGGAAAGTGGGAGGAAGGAATAACGAGGAAGAGAATGTAGTTCTTCTAAGATGCTCTAGCTTTATTCCAGTCAGCTATGGCTTAAGTATCTGTTCTAAATCCTCATTGTGCATCTCCTCTCTTAGCTCTGACCCTTCTTACTTCTGAATTCTCCTTTGCAGTCACTCCCTAACCAACATTTCAAAAAAATTGCCGGTATCATGTTCTCAAGCACAAATTTGTCTTATTTCATAGTGTTGTTTCCAAAACTAGGTTCTGTTTTTTTTCTATTAATGAATTTCCAAAAATTGCTACTTTGAACCCTCCCCTACCCTAACTATAAGTAAATAAATGGTTTAGTGAGCGGTACAAGGGTCAGATTTAATGGGATTAGGGTGCTTGTTCAGGGTAGCGTTAGACTAGGCTTGGGGAATTGCGTTTGTCAGAAGGAGTGTGAGTGCCATCCCAGTGCTCTCCCCACCGTGGATGACTCTGTGTAAAATGACTGACCATCTTTAGCCACCCATCCTTACCTCAGTTCCCTCCCCTCTGCCAAAGTATTCTTCCTGAGATGACGGACAGCTTTGTTTCCTTTTCATTTCAGCTGCAGATGAAGATATCCTTGCTAAAGGAAAACAGTCCATCAAGAGTCAGGCTTTAGGAAATCAGAACTCAGAGAATGAGATCCTCCTGGAAGGTGACGACGATACTCTGTCATCCGTGGATGAGAAAGATTTAGAAAATTTCACCGGTAAACTCACTGTTTCTGTAGATATTTCAACTAGCTCTGGGCCAATAAGCATCTAATTACTTACTTTTTCAGTGTGACCTTTAGGATTACCAGGTTTATACTCACCATTACATAAAGATTGTTTTTGTTCTTCCAAACATTTCCCCCCTCAACTTCAACACTGTTTCCCCTTTATTGTTTAGCCTTTTTTTATCCTACCCATCTTTTTCTTTTACAAATAATTTTCATATGAAAAAGAAAAAAAAGTTTAGAAGCTACAACAGCAGAACAAAATTGCTTCACCTGTCCCATGGGGTTACCTAATCTCTATAAAATGAGAGCTGTAGTAAAATCCTGCCAATTGTTTTGGAAATAAAGCGTGGAGGCAGATGAACTATTTACTTTGATATACAGGTCTTAGTGAACATGCTGCGTATACACTTAAGTCTCTCAAAAAATCCATTTCAAGAAAGCTATGGCTTTTTACAGGATTCACATATTTTACCTGATGTAGGAATTTTGATTTGTACTCTGCAGATTTTCAGTTTTACTTCCCTTATGGGAAAAATTCTCTTGTTTAGCCTGAAATTTTAGTCATTCATTAAATGGCTTTTTTCCTCTAATGCCTGGCTCTGTCCCTCAAGGAGGAAAGTCTGAAAAATTCTGTAACTTTCATAGGTGAAAATTATATAATCTTCCATTTTGATCATTTTAATTTAAGAGAAAAAAAGCATTAAAAAACCTTTTATTTAGGGACATATCTGCAACTATGCTGCCTTGCAATGAATGATAATGAAAAGCAAAATTAGAAGATGGTAGCATCTCTGATGACTGTAACCTTTTTGTAAAGTAAAATAAAAATTAATTGGAGCATTACATTACAGGATTAATGTGGCAATGGAAAGTAAGGTGGACACTGTTATTTCTAGTCTTTTCCTTCACATGCATTTACCCATTTCTTCCTCCTTTATTTTGCTGCTTTTTCTTGCTACTAGTAATACATTCATACAGTAATAGAGGTGAAAGGGGAGTTTAATTATATAATCTTGACAATGGCAATAGGATTAAGAAGTAATCCACACTAATAAAGTGGTGTGGGTTAGAAATGAAGTGGAAATTGTCAGGGGTCTTCCGTAGGACCTAGGCTGCCCTAGCTTCTGCAGCTGTCTGCTTACTCTGTAATTGAATGTCTGAGAGTGATTGAAAAAATGTTATTTCTTCTCAGGATTACATGCTAATGTACAGAGGGCAAAAGGAGACAGCAAAAGAACACATAGCTGCTTATTTCATCCATTTATAGGGATGAGCTTTGGGAAATCACTGCTGTTCTGCAGCTATCTGCTGCCCATCTGCAAACACAATGTATTTGTACATTGGGAATAGAGGGCAAAACCTGCTCTGATCTCTGCAGAGCATCCTTTCTATTGTCCTACTGGCACACATGAAGATTGATGTGAGATTAAGGACCAACACCCTTCTAACAATTGATGGAAATGTCAATTCATCTGAATTTTGAAACACTTATTCACCCATTGATTACCTGAATAGGTGTACTGTGTTTATAGGCACTATATTAATTCAGAACTGTAAGTGCCAATCTTTCCTTGCTGTTTTCTTCCCCTGTAGGAGTTGTACAATGAGGAAGTGAGTCAGGATTTCCAATTCATACTGCATCTAACTCTACGTAAAATGTATGTGTGTGTATATATGTATACATACATGCACATATATAAATATATACACATATATAATTATTTTAGTCTTTTTTTTTTTTTTTAGGTTTAGCTGTAATATAGTTATGTTCTTTTATCTGTAGTGAACCCATTGTTTTCAGTAGCTGGCTGATTTGTCTCTTTGATAAGCCCTGTGGAGATTTGATTATTCCAATAAAAATTCATTCACTTGGAAACCCACCCTCCAGCTGTTTACTCCCAGAGTCCCTGAACTACACTAATATTAGATTTGGAAGCATTGAACAATATTTAACGGTGGAAAGGCAGGCTTAGAAAAGAACTATTTTTACCTATCTTTCATGGGGTGAAGTTGCTATAGAAGAGGTGTTGTGTCAGTTTGGCACAAAAGCTGTATCAGAGAATATCGTTTAATGTTTCTCACTTCACTAATAAGCTAGTGATGTTTTTGTAATTGTGCCTCAGCCAAACTATAAGCTAACCTCTGGCCTTGGAAGCTTATTGAGTCTTCTTTGCTCCTGGTTGTTGTTCCATGTTGTTAGATCGCCTGAGGCTTGTTTTCTAAATGGAATGTAGATGGACTGACTTAGGCAAAGTCACTTTTACTAGGAGAGTAGACCAAAGGTTTGCAGACTCCCTGTGAAATAATTGCATCGTAGTTTACTGGAATCATTAACTGCCTGTTATAAATCTATTATGAGCATCCTTGGTTTGCATTTTCAGAGCAATATTGGGGTAGACAGAATATGTAAGTGTAGAAAGAGTTGGCAGACAATGTGGTACTCAGGGTGAGAGTTTTAAAATTAAATGAAATTTCTGATTGAAGCTATTTGATTTTTTTAAAATATGTCATCCCAACTGGTACACCTTGTCTTTTCCTTTTGGCAGGTCCTGTTAGCCTGAGCACACCAGCCCAGCTTGTGGCCCCCTCTGTTGTAGTAAAGGGAACTCTTTCTGTTACCTCCTCCGAACTCTATTTCGAGGTGGATGAAGAGGATACTAACTTCAAGAAAATCGACCCCAAGGTGAGATGATGAGGGTCCGGTTTTATTTTCATGGATTTTTTTTCTCGTGATGAGATGCTGGACTGTGTTTAGATAGCACTGACACTGGAAAATTTAACAAAATTACTTTGAATTTTTTGCAGAATTGCCTCTGCCTCTATTCAATGCAGCTACCTTCTTTAGCTTATGATGCCCTTACAAGCTAGTTAGATTATTGAACTTCATTTAGATTCAAAAACAATTTCAACTTAATTGCATTTATCATTAGCTCATTCAGGGCTGGGGGAGAACCTCAGGGAATATTGTCTATAAATATATTTGCTTCAAAGGGTCCAGGATGAATTAAGCTACAAGATTCAGTGAGATTGAGAGTGGAATTATTTTGTTTAGCCTTTATATTTTCTGGCTATAATACCAATATATCACTCTCTTTGCTTTGTCCTCATGACTTACTACTCTGTCGTGCATGCAAGCATGTTTTGTGTGTGTATGAGATACCTCTGTTTCCCATTACCTATAGTTGATTTTACAAGGCACTACATAATTTCCTATTCTTAAATGAAAAGGTAATTTCCCTTTTAAAGTGTATTTCTGATTAGTTTTCGACCATGTAGAGTTAATTTTACTAAGAGACATTTGTGGCACAGCCATAAAGCCACCATTAGGTTTGTGTCATGAATGTGAGGAAACAGTCTTTGAGAGGAAACAGTCTTTTTAAAAATGAGCAAAATAAGCAACCTGTGGAAAGAGAAAGGTTTAAAAAATTGAGTAACTTAATTTACAGACTAATAGCTTGTGTATGTATGTTTGTGTGTATGAACATACCCATACATAGTCTGATTTTATTGATAATAAGTTATTTAGTTTTATAATTATGTGAATTAGTAAATTTCAGTGATTTTAAAGTATATCAAGGTAGTTCCTGATGAAATGCTAGAGTTTTATTATGAACTTTACCAACAAATCATCTCTTGTCTTAGGCATGTTTCGGTCTTTGTTTCTAAGTTCTTACCTTTATTAAGACAAGATTTTGTAAATTACATGATAGAATAGCTGTGATGGAACTGAATTGTTTTGAGCATGATAATTCAGTTAACCCAAATATATAGAAAACTTTAATTCTGAAATTTCATCAACCAGAAAAATTTTCTAGTTTGTTTGCATGACTGAAATGTCTGAAAATGTATTTCAATTTCTTTTAAAAAGGAAGGTTATCAAAATTATTTAAACTGATTTGTGGCAGCTGATGAGTTTGAGAGGTTGCCGTTTACTTCAGAATATTCTGTTCTTTTAGACATACACTGCTTCAAATCTAAAATATGATTTAATTTAAAGGTGTCTCGTGAATTGTTCTGAATTTTAGAACCTCTTCCAGTATATTTGGGTAGGCTATTTGGAATTATTTTCTCCTTTTGGGTTGGGGGAAGTTACAACTTTCATTTCTCTGTGATCTTATTCTGTGCAGCATCATTACATTAATTTTCTTTCCCTGTTGCCTGTGTACTACAGGGATCTTTTAGCCTAATCACAGAAATTTTCTTGTACCATTGCAATTGCCTCATATTACAGAAATAAAAACATGCCATTTTATATTCTTATTTTTTTTTTCAACCACTTATTGGAAGGATTTTTTTGATATAGACTTGGGTGCTGTAAGGTTTTTCTGTAGTTGACGACACTTGTGTTACTGCAGTGGCTTTCTTTTTTTTTGGTTGGTCCTACCTACATTTAAATAGGATAGAAAAAAGATGCTGAATTTGGGGAATTTTTGCTTCTTGAGAAGACTTAAAAACTTTTTTCCTAGGATAGTTGGAGGAAAATATGTATCTAATGGTGTAAATGGTTTTGTGAGTGAAAATCATGGTCATTTTAAAGATACCATTTTAATTTTTTATAATAACACTGTACCCTTAAATCATTTCTTTGTAAATAAAAGCTCATACTACTGGCTTTGAAAATTTTCTCAAAAAAAAAAAAAACAAAAAAACATTTTCCCCTAGAGATTAAATTCATTTGTATTATTTAAAAAATTAGTATTTTATCTGAACCACTTAGTATTACAGTGAGTTTCTACATCTACAGGAAGACCAGAAAAATGTAGGTTGAAAAGAGGGGAGATGATTTCAGAACTGATAAGATCAAAGTTTCTATTTCTAACAGGGAGCTATTTTCACTAGGGGATTCTTACCAGGGAGCCTACAACTTCAGCCTGTTTGGTGACATGACCTAGTCAGGGCCTGAGGTTTTTCATCCTTATATGCTGTCCTGGGGCTCATCCTTCCATACACTTCTTCCCCTAGTCAGACTTGTTTATCTCATTTTCAAAAATTGCTTTTTAGAACATTTCCCCCAATATTTCTCATTCATGGATTTTCTCAATAAATTACCAACTGGGCTAATTCAAAGAATAAATTTTAAAACCTCTGACACATATTCTGTACCTGGGACTTAGAATTAGCATATCTACTGGAGAATATAGTTACCTCCAGCCTAAAGAAGATAAACCAGTTCCTTTGGGATAATTCAGATTTACTAATTGTTTCATTTTTTAGTCAGTTATTTCTTTGTATGAAAGAGAAACATTGTTAAAGTTGAAATAAGCAACTAGATTTTTACCTTAAAAAGCAGAAAGAGGAGGAACAAATGCACTTTTCCTATCTGTAAATTCTCTAAACAGTAATTTTTCTTTGGTCATAAAAGTGATATCAAACTTTTTTGTTTAAAATGCCTACAGGCAGCTTCAGGTTAATTCTGGGAATTTGATTAAAAATTGTTATGGCATTTTTATGGCATTTATGACATAGTTATGACATTTATAACTAAGCCATTTTAAAAACTGAAGTAATTTATAAATCTGGATTATTCATATCACCATTTACTGAAGGAAAAAGGAATACTGCCATAATCATTTCATTATTTTTTGGTGTATGATTGATTTCAGTTTTTGTTATTTCAAGTTTGAAGAGGATAAATGAGTGAAGGAAAACTATCAGTTGCTGTGTTAACTACTGAAAAGGCCCATAAACATTTCCTAAGTGTTTCAGACCCAGAGTAGAGTTTTTTAAATTATGGCATAGACCACAAATCTATTTTTAATGTGAAATAATACTTTCTATTTTAAATATTAGAACCAAATTATGTTGTTCCATACAAAAATCTGTTCTTTTTTCCCATCTTTCGATCTTTAATCTTAAAAATTACAGAAGATAGTTGATTAAAATTAATATTTTCTTTTTTTCTAAGTATTTTAACAGGCTCTTGTATGCTTTAATCTGCAAAATGTGCTGTATTTGGAAATTTTGCATTTGCAAATTAGAATTCCAATGGAACCTTCTTACATTAGTTCCTCAAGTTCCCATCTTTACATTGTAAATTATAAATGGTGACCTCAACTGCCTTCATTTAAGAACAATTCACAACCAGTCAATTACAATGTAAAGTAATATTTTTATTACTGTTTTCAACAAGATTGCTTAGGGTGAGGGTAGAGGTGCAAGAGAGGAAGGGACACGATCTGACATTGGCACTGAGATACACTTAACATCAGCAAAACCTTTTTTAAAAGAGAAATTTTACATATAATTAAATACTTTTTTTCACTTTGTGACAACATTCAGGCAACCCAAAACAAAATGAAATGAGAGAGAGAGAGAGAGAGAGAGAGGGAGAGGGAGGGAGGGAGGGAGGGAGAGAAAGGACAGAAAGAAGGACAAGGGCAGAGACTACTATGCACGGATTTGAAAATGTACCTTGGGTTTCATTTTGTGGTGGCAAAGCCCGATTGCTTCTTTTGTGTGATCTTTTAAATTCACATTGTTTGGAAGAAAACGATCACTTTTGTGCAAGAATGTGATTTCGTTTGGCTCGCTGGTCTGCTCTCTCTTTGTCGTCCAGGAACGCAGGTCCGCGGGGCGCCTGCCTCTCCCAGGTGGCGTGCGTAAAAGTTTGCGCCCGGGGTCCCCGCGTCCCCGCCGTCGGGGTCGGTGTCGGTGGCGGAGTCCCGTGGGGTGTGTCCGAGAGCGGTCCCGTCCGCGTCGCTTTTCAAGCAGTCCCCAGCACCCTATAGTTTGTCCAGGCTTTTGGGATTGGTGAGAATTTCCCTGGCCAACCTCCAGGTCTGCTTGGCAGCGCTCTCCAGGGCCGAGTGGGGCTTGCCCTGGAAAAGGTCGAGGTTGGGCAGAAAGTAGTGCGGGCAGCGGCGGCACTGCAGGCAGGAGATGAGCTGCAGCAGGATGCCGTTGAGCCGGTCCCCGAGGCACGCCTCGTCCCAGTCCGTCTCCCGCGGGTGCTTCTCGCACTCGTACAGCAGCAGCGTCTTCATGTGGTAGTTGTTGAGCGGCTGGCCCGGCAGCTCCAGGTGGCGGTCCCGCAGCGTCTTCAGCACCGAGAGGCACTTGTTCCGGCAGCCGCCCATCAGCAGGCGGTTCTCCGCCTCCCCGAACTGCAGCACCCAGGCGTCGCTCTCGGCGGAGCTCTGCTTGCCGGTCAGCGAGTAGCACTCCTTGGACAGCAGGTTGAAGCCCTCCGCCTTGACCTCCGCCACGCGGTTCGGGCCGGGCCAGGGGATGTGGGGCATGGGCCACTGCGCAGCGCTGCGGGGCCAGATGCCGGTGCACTTGAACGCCGGCGTGATTTGCACCACGTAGCGCTCCCGGATGCGCAGCTTCACCTCGCTGGTGTCGGCGATCATCTTGACCACGTCCCGGTAGCTGCACTTGTCCACCGCCTGGGCCACCAGCGTCTGGAAGCGGGAGCGGATCTTGCGCGCCGAGAGGTAGCCGGACGCCGTGATGAACTCGACCCAGAGAGACATGCTCCGCTTGCGCCCGTCGCTCAGCTTGAGCACCGCGCAGCCGGGCAGCGAGCCGTCGTCCACGAAGTTGAAGACGCCCATCTGGTTGAGGTAGAGCACCACCTCGAACTCTGTGGGCGAGATGACCTCCAGCCCCTCGTAGCGGGCATCGATCTCGCTCAGGGAGCTGATGAAGCGAGGCTCCTGCACCTCCACCTCCTTCAGCACGTCCGAGACCACCTTGCAGACCTCGCGGATGGTCTTGGCGATGGCCGCCTTGCGCGCTTGGCACCGCTCGGTGTAGTATTTGTTGAGCTGGTAAACCAGCTTGGCCTGAGCGGCGATCATGTTGGGGCACAGGTCCGGGCTGTACACCGGCGTCTCGCAGTACGTTGAGGGATCCAAGGCTCAGGCACTGGTGGTGGCCCTGCGGCTCGCCAGACGGTCAGTGCGCGCCCCTCAGCCCCACTTTCCCCCTGGCTCTCCACCTGGGCTGCCCCGCGGTTGCTGCGGCCGGCCGGCTCCCTCTCCCGTCTCTCCAGACCCTTTGCCTTCTCTAGAGAACGGGACAGATAAGTGACCTTTGGAAAAGGAAGGTACTTGCGGAGACTTTCTCCGCTCTTTCTTGAAGAGTCGAATAAAGAGGTGCGAGCAGGAGCGATGGGAGGGAGGGGGCAGGAAGAGAGGGCGAGAGAGAGAAACTCAGGTTACCCAGAGATGTCTGCATCCGAGATCGCCCACAAGTCTGGAGATGAGGTCCTTTAGTTTCCAAAGTGAATTTAAAAAGCAAAGCGAAACATTCAGCCTTTCATTCTGAAACTTCCCTCGCGCGCTGACTTCTTCGCCCGGCTTGGTGAGTGCCTTTCTCCTCGCCCTCCCCCAAAGGGAAGGTGAAGGATGTAATTAATGTCCTGAGAGCAGTGAAGTGCAACTCGGTGCAGCACCCTCGGAGGCTCGCAGAATCCCGGCGCCCAGCGTGCGGGCTGGTCTCTTCTCGGGGGTCCTGCTGGAGAGCTTTTCTTCCCCTGCTGGAGGCGTCCTGTGGACTGGGTCTGTTTATTTGCAGTGGGTTCTTGTCTTTCTCTAGGTGCAAACCGCTGGGAGTTGTTTGATACTCATTTCTGCTTCGCAAATTAAAATTTTGGCCCTCGCAAAATCTGTTTTAGTGTGAAGAAGTCGCAGCTTGCGTTGCATCTGGGGTTTGGTTACAGGGGTTCAGGGGTTTTTCTTATTCTCCCCTTTAGGTTGCTTGTGCGGATTCCACTTTCTGAGCCCGCTCTCCCTCCTCCCCTCGACTCACTCTCTCTCTCTCTCTGCCCTCCTAATCTCTCTCCCTCCTCCTCCCTGTCCCTCCCTCCCTGTCTCCCTCGGCTTCCTTCCCCCTTCTCTCTCTCTCTCTCTCTCTCTCTCTCTCTCTCTCTCTCTCTCTCTCTCTCTTTCTCTCTCTCCCCGCTGTTTCCTGGAGTTATTTAGTTTATGAATGGTCCAGGGCCATCATGAGGGGGGTGGAGCTTCAGTTCCTACAATCGCTATCCAAGCTGTCAGTGCCTTAACCAATCCCAGAGAGAAGACAGGCATGCTTGGCAGACAGTAGCAGCCACCACTGCACTTGATAAAGAAAGAGGGCAAAGAGAGAAGTAGGAAAATAGGGTAGATAGGAGAGTCAAATGCGCACACACATTTCACAGCCCCCTCTTCTCTCTTATCAGTTGCAAGAAAGAAAAAGAGTCTATGTGAGAGGGACTTCTGGAGATGCTGGAATAACGCGAGGGAGAGTAGCAGTGGTTCAGAAAGGTTCACTTTTTTTTCCTATCAACACTGTGAAGAAGGTGCAAACTTGTGACAACATTACTTTCTCTTGTAGGCGAATGGAAGGAGGAAGGAGCGTTTTGGAAAGGACCTAAAATTTTTTAGATTTTGTCCTCTTGCAAAGTCTTCCTCACTTCCCTTCCCCTTCCCTTGCTTTATTGCCAAGAGCCAGAGCAATGCTGTATATGTGCACCAGTGCGTGTGTGCGTGCGCGTGCGCGTGCGTGTGCGTGTGTGTGTGTGTGTGTGTGTGTGTGTGTGTGTGTGTAGAGCAGGGTAGAGTGGATATGGGTGAGGGTTTATGACCATAAATCTCTTTTCAGTAATTTCCATATGCAGTTGAAAATGGGGCCGGGTAAAAATAGTGTAAGCACCTTCTTTGATAATTATTTCATCATTAAGGTGGAGATATATTTATCAATGCTGGCTATTAGAGAAAGTTAAGTGAATTGTACAAATTATATGTGCCTTTGTGTGGATGTAGACTTTTGTTGGCTATGCTTTCACATTAAAATAAATCATTACAATTGTTTTAAGCTTAATAGAAATGAAAGAAAGTAAATCTGAACTTAAAGTTTTCTTCAAATGTATGTGTTGTAAATTTAATTTTGAATATATTCTCAGGCAGTTCGGAATTTCACTTGTAAAATGATTTTATTTTCATAATTGACTCATGCTTTTAAAAGACTTCTCTGATGCAAAAATCTATAACTATCCTGTTATTGATTACACAGATGGCTTCACTCCTCCCTTGGCATTTCAGTGAAACTCATGCATGTGCTTTTAGTATATGCGTTATCCTTTCAAGCTGTACCCATCGTAGCCCTGGGTACTTCTGGAGGAAAGAAGCTCTAACAGTGTTTCTGACTTACTTGGTATTGAGGGTTTGCCTTTGACCCTCAGGTGTCTGCATTCTGCCTCTTTTTAAAGATAAACCGAGCAGAAGGGACTAGTTTTAGACTTCGAATGATCTATTCTGCCCTGATGCTGTACGAATAAAAATCTGTGAAGCCTTTGGACAAAGGTTTCAGTTTTTGCAAAATCTGGTATGTGCCCTTTGCAAAAAACCTCTTGTGGGTGGGGAGGGGACAGTTTCACTTTATTAAAACATGACCAGGTGAACCCGAATTCAGTTGCATGGGTTAAGTTTATTTCTCTCCATCTCCTTGACTGCCGACATTTGGACCGCTTGGTTCTTTCTTGCTTGTCTGGTGCAGACGGCTGGCACCTTGTCATACCTTCTCTCTTTGCCGTCAATCAGTCCCTTTCCAAAACTCATTGGCCCTTTTTCTTTTTAAAAAATCAAGTCGGATTTATTGCTGAGAATCCATCCGCAGTGGACCGAAGTTGGTTAGAACAGTCGAAAGTAAGCTTCCCTGAAACTCTGGAGAACCAGGAGCTTCAGTCTCTGCAGCGGCAGAGCCTTGGTGGGGCTGCTGACTCCTGCGTTCATGGGGGCTGCCACTTGGCTAGAGGGGACCCTCGGCGCCTGGGGGCTTCGCGCTTGTGGGCTGGGTAACCTGCCTGTTGCCCCGAGGTCACAGTGGCTGCGCCCTGGGAAATATTACTGGGTAGGAGGGACCTTTGGGTTAGGGAGTTGTGTGGCCAGCCAGCCGCGGATCCGAAACGGAGTCCCTGGAGGGCAGCTCTCTGGGCGGAGACTGGTGGCCAGGCTCCCGGAGCGACCCCTCCCCGCCCCGAGGTGGCCACTCCTGCCCAGGCGGCTCGGAGCTGCCCAGGCCTCGAGCGCGCGGACCTGCGCGGCCGCCCGGCCAGAGACGCTCGGGCGCGAGGGGATGTTTGCGAGAAGACCCGGGGGTGACCGCAGCTGTCCCCCCTTCGCCCCAGGCTCCGCGGGGGGCGCCCCTGGCCGGGCTCGGTCTGCAGCCTCCCTATTTGGGTGGGGTGCGGGGCGCCCGCCTGACACCCCGCTGCTCCCCTCCTCCAGGCTTTGTCAGGGCGTCTAAGTTTCGTGGCACCCCTGTGTTTCGCCACTTTTCCTTGCGGAGGCCGAGGGATGATAAAATGTTACAAATGTTTTGATTTAAAAACAATTCATTACCAATTTACCCTGTCTAAGGTGGATGCTCTAGTAAATAATAAATCAGTTAAACAAAGGCGACTTTAATTTATTGCCCGTGGTACTAATTAGAAACATCATTCGAGCAATAAACTTAAACACTTCCAGCAAATAATGCTCCCTCTCGCCGGCTCCCCACCTCCCCTCCCCCACCCTGCGCCCCGCGGCTGCAGGGCCCCTTGGCGGCGCGCGTTTGCGGATCCGGCTCTTCCTCGGGTCGAATAATTGAAGGGGGATACAGGGGGATACGGGTATCCGAGGAGGCTGTAAATGAAGAGCCCCTGTCACCTCTGCTTTTATGTGAGTTAGTGCAGAAGTCCAGCAGCAGGTCCTTGGCGGTGCATTAAAATGAAGTGGCAGCCCCTTCTGCAGGGGAGACCGTATTCTATTAGAGGCCATGTGAGGAACTCTAGAGGCTAAAAGCCACTTCAGGTCTTCAGACCGATTGATCTGTATTCTCTGGTTATAATCCGTCTCATCATACTTGAGTTAATGAGGCAAAAGAGCGGGAGTGAAATCTGATGGTCCTTGACAAATTCATTAGGGAGGCTGCGGGACATTTTATTTGACTGTTAAACATCTTGTTTGTTTGGTTTAGGCGGTGCCAACATCAGCATGCTTCTGCCCAGGCTGGTGATGTTGGGCTGTCCACAGACGGTTCCTAAAGAGACATGGAGAACAATCAGAGTGGGATTTGAATTTTTTGTTTTGGGTGTTTGGGTGCTCCAGAACCTGCAGATTCCACCATCACCGTTATTACATTAGGAACTTGTTATGAGGATGTAGATGATAACACAGAGGAGAGCATGTTTTTAGTTAACTGGAAACTAACATTTAATGTATGTTTAAAGTTTAATGCGAAGTTTCCCATTTCCTTAAAAAATTGTCAAGTTATGGCAATGGCTATAGTCGTTTTTGAAAAATGTGAGTGTTTAAGTTGCAGAAGGGTTGTCAGAGTACACACTGCATTCTATTTTAACTTAACCATGGTTAGACTATTAATTATTAATTGAATTTCCTCTTGAAGTGAAACACTTATGTGTATAGACATTTGGAAATAAAAAAAATAACTACAAATAAGATATTTTACAAACAAAACAAACATATTTTAATTTGAGGGCCTTTTATTTTTTAAATAGGAAGCAGAACTGGGTGGTTTTTAAATGGTGTTCATCAGGTGATGAGTTGATAGACTATTTTAAAAAAACTAAAATAGTTCTAATTGAGGAATAATGAGTGATCAAGCGCGAATGCTAGTCTTATAATATCCTAATAATAACGTAGTACTTAATTTTTGCAAAAATTTTCATGAAAAGAAACAATTCAATTGTGGTACTTGCTTGCAATGAGAGTATTTAGTCAGCTTTTCCTTCAGCAATTGACTTAAACAGCCTTAGCTTAACTGCTTTGAGAAAGAACCCTGTCTTCCATTTATAGGAAAGCAGTATGAGAAAAAAAAA